TTATAAGGACCAAAACCGACAATGCGAATGCTAGAGGACTATAAGGAACCTTTGCGAAAACATAACGATCGAGTGTTGACGCCATTATAAAAAAATAAAAAAATAAAAAAATAAAAAAAGTGGGGTTGCTCCTATTCATTCACTTTAGCTACACACTCAAAGTCCTTATTCATTCTTTTTTTTTTTTTTTTGCATCTTGGTCCCTCATTCTTTGAGAGATAAATTAATTAGTCACTTTGGTTTGAAAACTATTTTTTTTCCTTTTCACTATTTTATGGTTTTTATTTTTTCTTTTAAGAAATAGAAAAAAAAAAAACAATTCTTTGGGGAATAAATTAATTAGTCCATTTGGTTCGAAAACTATTTTTTTTTTTTTGTCTTTTTAGCCATTTTCGTTTATCGTAGCACCCCCTTCCTTTTTTTAACGACTCCCATTTTTTCGGATCCAATGATATGTATTAACTTCTTCACTCATGTATCGTTCTCCATTCTCCAATTAATAAACTCTGCAACTTTCATTGCCTTGGAGGTAATATAATTTGTTGACTAATTTATTCTCTTTCCTAACTATTAAAGTAAAGTGTTTGTAGGACTTATTATAGTTAATAATTATAATATATTATCATTATATTTTACAAAAAAAATATTATTGTTTTTTTTGCTTTGTTTTTTTTTTTTTTTTTAATGTCCGGCCTCCTTTTTTTTTTTTCAGTTTCTATATTTGTAGGACTACTATTATTATATGGTCAAATATATTATTTAGGCCCTTATGTATTAGAAATATATTTTGTTTAAACAATAAAATTATTTATAGTTAATAATTATAATACATTATTATTATATTTTACAAAAAATATCAAATAAATATTACAAAATAGTTATTTGTATTTTGATTGTGAATATTGTATTTATGCACTACTTTTTTTGTTTTTTTTTTTTTAATGCCTCGTTTGCTTTTTTTTTTTTTCAGTTTCTATATTTATAGGATTATTATTATATGGTCAAATATATCATTTAGGTTTTTATTTATTAGAAAAATATTTTTTTTAAATAATAAAATTATTTATAGTTAATAATTATAATATATTATCATTATATTTTACAAAACATATCAAATAATTATTATAAAATAGTTATTTGTATTTTGATTGTAAATATTGTATTTATTATACAATATAATATATTTTTTATTATTTTATATTATGATATAACTAATATATTGATCTATTATTTTACAAATTTGAATATATATAAAAATTGATAAGTATTTTAGTAATATAATATAGTTGATAATTATACTATATAATTAAATTAATATTACATTGTATTAGTTAGATATTATTTTAAATATATTGGTATAATAATATAATATTTATTAATAAATAATTTGTTTAAATATCATATGATAATTGTTCCCCTTCTATATAAATAATTTTTTGAATATTTTTTATTACAAAATTAGGTGTGAAAATATAAAAAAAGATCATTATTTTTTTATTTACATATAGTTTGACAAGTAATAGAATATATATAATATTTTTTAAAATTTTAGTTTGAAGATATATATCTGCTTATATTATTTTTATTATTTAAAATTTATTTCTATAATTGTTTGTTTCTTATTAAAATTCTCATCAAATTAATTTTTAAATTTTAGATGATTTTATTTTTATATAAATTAGATTTTTTTTTATACATGGCTTTTGAAATAAAATTTTACAACTTCATTGTTTTATTTTTTAAAAATATATTATTATAATTTATATGATTGATTATTTGTATGATTTTTCAATGACAATGACGTTGTATATATACATTCCGATGAGAAAGAGAGAGCCAAAAGTATGTTTCGGATATTATAATTATTCTAAAAAAACTAAAAGAACTAGGGTTTTTCCTATTCATTTACTATAGCATTTTATTTATTTATTTATTTTCCTAGTGTTGGCTCGGAGAAGCGAGGCTCCAGCGAACTGGCTCGGCTCTTTTTTTTTTTATTTATTATTTTTTTTAAGGCTAGCCTGGAGAAGCATTTTCTTTCTTTCTTTCTTTCTTTTTTTTTAATAAGGTTGACCTTAAGAAGCAAGCTCAAGCGAGGCTTGCACAAGTAGTCCCAACTAGCGTTTGCCTTTTTTTTTTCTCGGTAATAATTTATTTTTATATTTTTTATCATGAAATTAGGTGTGAAAATATAAAAAAGATTATTATTATTATTTTTTTTTTACATACAGTTTTAAGATAATAGAATATATATAATATTTTAAAAACTTTTAGTTTAAACATATATATTTGATTATATTATTTTTATTGTTTAAAATTTATTTCTTCAATTGTTTATTACTTATTAAAATTCTCATCAAATTAATTTTATATAATTTTATTTGTTAAGAAATTTGATTTTTTATATATGGATTTTGAAATAAAAGTTTAGAACTTGATTGTTTTATTTTTTAAAAATATATTATTATAATTTATATGATTGATTTTTTTTTATGATTTTTAAATGATATTAGCATAATTGCATATATAAATTCTAACGAGGGAGAGAGGCTAAAAATGTGTTTTAGATAATTTTACTTAATTTTTTTAAAAAATAATAATTAGTTAAAAAATTAATTTGACTCATTTTTAAAAAAATTAATATATATATCAACCGGGCATGACCCCGCTCGTTTTCTTTTCTTTTTTCTTCTTTTAATTTATTTTATATTGTTAAAAGTCCGGCCACCAATCTCATGATAGAACATTGGATCACCAAGAGGTAAAAGGAAACCCTTAAAAGAATATACATATTGTCATAGCATCATTGGATCTCCAGTAAGTGATATACAGAGTTAAGCGATTATATATAATTGGTCCTTTCACCGAAAAAAGAAAACATATATATTATTGGCCCCTTTAATGTCTCCGAACCAATATTAATTATATCTTTAACATTGATGTTAACATACATATTTGATTATTTTATTCTTATTGTTTAAAATTTTTTAAATCTTGTCATAGCATAACTCGGATCTCTAGCAAATGATATAAAAGTTAAGCGGTTATATATAATTTGTCTATTCACCGAGAAAAAAACATATATAATATTGGTTCTTTTAATGTCCTTGAACCAATATTAATTATATCTTTGATATTGATGTTAATATACATATCCGGTTATTTTATTCTTATTATTTAAATTTTTTTCTTCGATTATTTGTTTCTTATTAAATATCTCATTAAATTAATTTTTTGATTTAATTTTATTTATTAATGAATTTGATATTTTAATATATGAATTTTGAAATAAAATTTTAGAACGTCAATGTTTTATTTTTAAAAAATATATTATTATAATTTATACAATAAATTATTTTTATATTTTTAAATGAGTGTTATATATATATATATATATATATATATATATATATATAGAGAGAGAGAGAGAGAGAGAGAGAGAGAGAGAGAGAGAGAGAGAAGAGGGGCTAAAAGTATGTTTTAAATGATTTGACTTAATTTTTTTTTAAATAATAATGAGTTCAAAAAATTCATAAGTTTTATTTGCTTTATATATATATATATATCAACCGGGCATAACCCCGCTCTTTCTCTTTTCTTTTTTTCTTCCTATAATTTATTTTATATTTTTAAAAGTTTGGCCACTAATCTCATGATAGAACAAAAAATAAAAAAGTTAGCTAATTATTTTAAATCTTGATGTGTTTTAAGATTGGATCTCCAAGAGGCAAAAAGAACTCTTAAAAGAATATATATATTGTTATAATATAACCGAATCTCCAGCAAGTGATATACGAGTTAAGCGGTTATATATAATTGATCCCTTCACCGAAAAAGAAAACATATATATTATTGGTCCCTTTAATATCCTTGAACCAATATTAATTATATATTTGACATTGATGTTAACATACATATCCGATTATTTTATTTTTATTATTTAAAATTTTTTAAATCTTGTTATAGCATTACTCGGATCTCCAGCAAGTGATATAAAAATTAAGCGATTATATATAATTAGTCTTTTCACTGGAAAAGAAAACATATATATTATTGGTCCTTTTAATATCCTTGAACCAATATTAATTATATCTTTAACATTAATATTAACATACATATCCGATTATTTTATTCTTATTGTTTTAAAAAAAATTTCTTCGATTATTTGTTTCTTAGTAAATATCTAATTAAATTATTTTTTTAATTTTTTGATGTAATTTTATTTATTAATAGATTTGATATTTTAATATATGAATTTTGAAATAAAATTTTAGAACGTCAATGTTTTATTTTTTAAAAATATATTATTATTATAATATATATATATATATATATATATATATATATATAGAGAGAGAGAGAGAGAGAGAGAGAGAGAGAGAGAGAGAGAGAGAGAGAGGCTAAAAGTATTTTTTAAATGATTTGATTTAAATTTTTTTTAAAAAAAATAATGAGTTCAAAAAATTCACAAATTTTATTTGCTTTATATATATATATATATATATATATATATCATTAGAAATTAACTATATAGATTCAATTTATATTAATTATCAAAAATAAAATTTTTTATTTATATTACATCATACAAATCATTAACCATATATATATATATATATATGTAATGATCGTCTATTTACAACATAACACGAGTATTCAACTAATATACTATTATACGGCGTTGTTTACTACAGTTTAGATTATAGACCCATTTTCTGCCAGATGACACTTTCCACGTCAGGGAGTTGTCAGACGTATATTTTCCCTAAGAAATTCGGAAGATCTTTTTTAGTTCTTTTTTTTCCCTCCCTTGCTATTAATCCATGTGTTTGCAGCCCTGGTTATCACTGCATACTCGTTGATAAAGAAGTTTCATGACACCAAACTTGCTTATCGTACAAACACGTGTACAATCATCCTATTTCATTTTTTGAATTATATTAACATCAATCTTAAGAGCTAAATCATCAAGCTGTTGCAATTTTGTCCTTGTTTAACTACTAATCCTGACAGCGACACGAAGACAAACCTGCACACAATCTAGACAAGGACTCTGCTTTAATCATATTGGACTTGGCCGCATCCAGTAAAGAGTCTGCTTCGAGGGCTCTGTTGAAACAGTACTTGGCCTCCTCCCACCGACCCTGAGCTACAAATACCAGACCAAGATTGTTAAATGCAGGAGCATAGCCAGGCTGGAGTTCAAGAGCCTTTGTAAACATTGCCTTAGCACGGTCATATTGCTTTTGCTGCCGGTAGAGATTTCCTAGGTTGGAGAATACTGCATGTGCTTGTTCAGGAGTTGCCCGTGCCAACGCCTGCTTATAGACATCTTCAGCTTGTGAGGGTTCTTCCGATAATTGTAGTGAGATACCTAATAACCATAAAAGTGTAAGCCCAACTCCTGAAACAAACATGATGTGATCTACAATAAAGTATATAGATATAAACGGTCATAAGTCTGCTTGTACCAAGATTTGACCACACATAGCTGCATTCTCTAGAGCGGGCAGCTGCAACCTTGAGATACTTTTCTGCTGGTTTAAATTGTCGGGAACAGAGATAATGCAGACCGAGTTGGTGCCACTGAACTCCATCATCAGGATCCTCAGCTATTGCCTAATTCATATAACAGTGAGTAATTGATAATTTTTATTTTAGATAAAGAATGGACAAGAATATTTTATGTACAAGGTTATGACAGGGAAGATAAATATCCAATTCTTCAACCCCAACATGGCAGATCCTGCATGATTCCTATATCCATCCAGAAGATGGAAAGTTTTCTTTCTCCATTGCTAAAGAGTTCTGTTAGGTGCCATTGCTCATCATTTCATATTCATTTAGGAAGCACAAATTTTTCTTCACCAGATGACAATTGTAGGCAGAAAAGTGATACAAGTGAATGCAACCTGCAAACATGATGATTTGCAAGTATCCCTAGACACTAGATAGCAAGCTTAGAATGAAGCATCCTTCTTTCTTTCTTTTGTTAAATACACCTTGTTCTGCTCCATAATTTATCAGTTCAGAAAGCAAAGACCACACTAGTTTTCCATTTATTACCAACATTAAAAAGCCAAAATTAATCAGAATTTAAGTCATTACATACAAGCCAAATATATAAGCACAACTTCAGAAAATATCAAGAAGCGGATAAATTTAGCGTAAAAAATTCCATATATGAAAGTAGAAGTTTTGAATTGTAAGTCAAGAGTAAACCATCATTATTTTATAGTTTCCAAGATATTGTGAATGATTTTTAATAAGCCAAAAAAAAAAAAAAAAGTACCTGCTTTAAGCTGTAGAGAGCACGCTCTTCGACCTCCATCAACTCATTTGATTCTGTTCCAAATGCTGCAGCAATCTCATGTTGGGCCTTGTGAACCATGCCAAGTCCAGCCCATGCAATGGGAAGCTCGATTGGAACAGAATCTCCCTCTCTTAAAATTGAAGCCATTTCATTTCCTGCCCACGAAAGCTGTTCACTAGGATCTTGAGATCTCTCTGCATCCTTTATTCGGTGGACTGCCACGGCATATCGAGTAGACATACAGTTGGGCTCCAGTTTTGCTGCCTGAAAAGCAACAAGGATGCCAACAAAGTGCTAACTTCAGCTCCATGTTTTTAGCACAAAAATCGAGCAGCAAAAACAATGTTAGCATATGCATGCATCAGTAACTAGAAGAGTAATTAATTATCTCATTAGTACTAGAAGATATTAAACATGGAGGAAGCTTCCCCAATTGTTCATCATCAAAACTTTTAGCTTTTCTTTCCTTTTTTTTTTTTATCGAAAGATCAAGGAAACCAATGAACAACCTCAACAAAGAAGCAATAAATGACTGTAGCAATGAGCCACTAGCACCTTCTCCAAGCACTTGCTGGCACTTCTGTGGTCACCAATCATGTAATATGCATTAGCAAGATTAGCCCAAATATGTGCTGCTTTTGGTTCCAGTTTCAGTGCAGCTAGTAAACAATCCTTTGCGACATTGATAGCTTCAGCCTGATCTATAGAAGCACCTTCACCAGCATTTGCCCCAGCACCTGAGAAGTTAGAAAGGAAGCTGCAATCATGTGAGTTACATTAACTATTTTGAATAACAAATGTGGCAGAAGCCTATTGAACTATTCACAGCATCTTAATCTCCAAAGCAGATAATGAAGGTGAAAAGTCAACAGAGGTCATGATAAATGAAGCTAAAAGTCAATTCAAATATACCTGCAACAACTGAACCATATTTACAGAGAAGAGCAGCAGCATAGTTCACAAGGGAAGAAGGATGGTTTTGATCTTTAAGGATCAAATCTTGAAAACATTTTGCTGATAGGTCCAAATTTCCACTGCAAGCAAAATTAATTAATAAAAATTCTAATGAACAAGAAAGATCCAGGAAGAATATCTTACTGAAACCATAACCATGGTATAAGTGTTTGATTGTACAAGTTTCAATACAAAAGTTGAGTTGTTTGTCTCAATAAATAAAGTAATGATATTAAAGCAACAAGAAAGTACAATCTATGAATGATTCCAACACTAGCCAAGCAATGAAAACTGACTAGGCAAATTAATTTATTTCAACACCATTATAAAGAAAATGAAGATGGCCAAACATAAGAAGAGAATTGTAAGATATATGACTCCACCTTTCACATTGAATTTCAAAATTATATCAAGATTAATGAGCAGAAAGCAACGTAGTGATACGCATAATAGCTGAGAGGTGAGATTGAAACAAAAAAATGCTTTGCTGAAAGCACATTTCAGAAAGTTCAAAGCTTTCAAAAGAAATATGAATGTGCTTTGAAATAAAGGGCATGATTGTTCACGAAATGACAATAAACAGAAGTAGATATTTTATATCACAGCTACAGGCTTTGTTGGATGCTATTCATCTAAGGTAGATTAGATGCTGCATTTCATTATCTGTTGGATTAAGATTCCAAATGATTTCTAGTCCCTGCTTTTTCAATTTATTGCTGCATTTAAATCTCAAAATACCTCTTTCTCTGGCTTCATTATTCATCAGTGCTGCCATTACTACCATTTCTCTACCATGAGAAGCCAATGCTAAGGTAAAAGAGGTTGAATGGATCACCAAAGGGCATAAATGGCAATCTCTTACCTTTGAAGGTATGCAATCCCCAAGTTTACAAGGCAATCATAGTTGTTAGGATCAACAGCCAACAACGCAGACAAAACTGAAACAGCACTCTAAGAAGCAACAACACAGCCCGTATCAGATCACAAATAATGAACTCATATCACAAACAACAACAAGAAAAACATCATTAGTCTCACTATACCTGCACACGACCAGATTTAAGAAGTATAGAACCCAAGGTATTCCAAACAGCAGCTTGTCTAATATCTAATTGCATCGATTCCTTCAATTTAACCAAAATGTCCTCAAGCTCAATTCCTTCAAGTTCCTTCTCCAAACTATTATCGCCACTATTTTCAAGCAAAATACACTACAGTACACACATTCAAGAACACACGTCACAAACATTACCTAACCACACAACGACTCAACTACTCCTAAACAAAAAAAAGGGATACTCACTAAAAAAAAAAAAAAAAAAAAAAAAAAAAAGAAAAGAAAACACACAATGCACTATAAGACATAATAACCGAACCTGCGCGTGGTGAATTTGAACTAACGAAAGCAACTCCGGCCGAGCTACCTCAGCCTCGCAACGAAGTAATATCTCTTCAGCCTTCTCGTAAGCCAAAATGGCCTATAAACAAAACAAATGTAACTAACATGACACGAATCAATCAAACAACAAAATAAAATTAAAATTAATCTCCGATACCCAACCTTTTGAGGTTGGCTTAATCTTTGGTACATTAATCCAAGTATAAAATGCGCATGCGCATTCTTCGGCATCTTCTTTGCAACATGTAACAAACCCTAAAAACACAAACAAATTAATTATTAATTAACTAACGAATTAACCACTTTTTTTATTAATTTCATTAATTAAGAAATTAGAGAAAAAGAAAGTACGAAACTCACCGTTTTGAGACTGCTAACTCTCTCTTCACGAGAGGAAGAAGGACCTTGGCTTGGCTGATCAGGATCATTATCAGGTCCGTAATCCAGAGAGTTGTCTGATTTACTGTTACGTGAACGTGATTTACCTAATTTACTGCTTGGTTTTTTACCTTCAGTAACGTCTAAGGTGTTGTTGTTGTTGTTATCTGCTTCTTTGGACGTTAAATTAGGTTTGTTATCTTGTGCTTCGTCGGTTAATTTGGTTAGGTCAGGTGGTGACACGTGGAGAGCGTCGGTGGCGTCGGATTCAAAAGGGTTGGCGTTGAGGTCTGCCAAAATGACGAGTTTCTGAGGAGGTTGCAGAATTTTTGAGGTAGTTTCCGTGAAATTGGTGGCTACGGTTACGAGTTCTGGTTTTACGGATTGCCGAAGGGGCTGGGGTTGCGGTTGGGACATTTTGCGTCGGAAGTTTGAGTTGCGGGGAGGAAGACGGTGTTTCGATTTTAGGTTATCGAAATGCTGGGAACTGGATATTTTTATACGTATGCAATTGGGTGCGCTCTCTGGGTTAGGTTGGGCCTGGGCTTTGACTTTCTTGATTCAATTTAATCAAATTCGTTAAAATGTTTAGAGCTGAGGAAAAGCAGAATAAATTCATTTTAAAATAATAATAAATTATAAATGTTTTCTATGATGCTTTTCTAAAGCCAGTTAGTTTAGTTTTTTAGTTTTTTTTTTAAATAAAATAAATTTCGCGTTTATTATATTTTCTATAATATTCTGATATTACATCTAAAAATTATTTTTTAGAAAAAACTTGGCAAGATTTTTTTTTTTAAATTAAAACTAATAAAGGATAATTTTATTAATGAATAAATGTAACATAAAATAGAAAGCATCAAATATAATTATCCTTTTAAAAAAAGCCAAAATAGGAAAAATAATAAATAAAAATCTTGATTTGTTGAAAAATAATAATAATCGCATAAGATTGTTATGATAATTGTAAAAAGGATAGGAGAAAAGATGATAGAAAAATAATTTCATTGTAAAAATAAAGAAAATGCAAGAGATAACAGCTCCAAACAATTCTCTCAATCTCTACAAAATACTTGTCATTAAACTAATAAACAATCAAGCATATTTATAGCTTTCAAAATTAAGAAGAAAATTAAAAGAGACTATGAACAATGAAAACTACAAAAATTATTGAATTAATTGCATCACCTTTTCAATTTCTCATATTGAATAATGAATTGAATCACATTAAGAATTATGAATAGCGAGGATATAAAAATTATATGAACACTCATTATTTCATAAAACCCTCCCTTGAATATTCATTATACGAGAAACTTATCTTGTTAAAACCTTCCTAGAAAAAAATAACCTACTGGGAATAAATCCTAGTGAAAGAAAAAGAGTCCAAATATTTCTTTTACATATTGTCATTACCCGACATTTAGAGAACTTCCAAAAAAAAAATCTAATTAAAAATTATTTATTTGTTTATTTACTGGAGATATGAATTAAATCACGTTTTGAAGTCTCCATTTAGTATCAAAGGAATTAGAAAACTTAAAATTGACATTGATTTAGAGATTTTAATATAAGAAATTGATTATGCTTTTGGAAAGATATCAATAGCCCAAAGACATTCTTTTCGAGAAAAGGTACCACATTCGGTTTTATCCCAAAAATTTATCTCTTAAAAATTGCTATTGTTGCCGAATTATTTTTAAGCTAATTTTCAAGTTTCTTATCTAAGCCAAATTAATTTTTTTTATTTTTTTGTGACATAATATTGAATTGATCGTTGGACCCCGACATCGGGAGTCTCATCAATTCAACATCGGATCTAGCTTATATAACTCCCACGAAATTTATTAATTAATTATATATATATATATATATATATGTTTAAATGTTCATAAACTTGCCTATATTAAGTAAAAGTGATAGTATGAATTGTTTTAAAAGTTTTTACGATAACGGTATGTTTGACGTTTACGTGGGGAATTTTGGGAGGAAAAATGTCGGATAATTTAGTTAATTATCCTTAGGATATTTCTAAGTATTTGGGATGTAATATATTGGTGAGGAATGTGTTGTAAAATTTTAAGAAACATTGGAACTTATTTTTGGGAAAATTTTCGAATTGTTTAAAGAAAATTTTTTGAATTTTAGAGATGGAAAATTTTAAACTTTGTGTGATTTATTTAGGGATCTTAGATTGATTTTTGGGTAAAACTTAAAGGATAAAATTTGTTCATCTATGTGTCTACTAGATCTCTGTAAACTTTTGTGATTGTTAGATATATATATATATGGTCGATTTGGTACATATCGTTTGGATATACCACTGCTGAAAATTTTAGGAAAGAAAATTCGAGTTTAGGGAGTGGGATTTCCAAAATTTAACGAAAAGAAATGAGATTAGTTACTTAAACTTGGTTAGTTAGGGTGTTTAGTTAGCCTAAGTATTTAGTTAGACACCTAAGCCACCATAATAAATTAATTAAGGCCAACTCACCTTCCTTTTGACTTTAAACCAGCCACTTGCTTCCTTAGTCACCAAGTACTTTCTACCTTGGCCAATTAATTCAAGGCAATTATAAAGGGGGAGAAATGAGAAGTATATAAGGGAGAGAGAGGGTTAAATGGTTGGAACTTTCAACCAAAAACCGTGGAGCACCAAGAAAGAAAAGAGAGAAAATCGTGAGAGGGAGAGAAGAAGAAGGAAAAAAAAAGCTAAGGAAAACCTAATCACACCTTAAGCTATGTAAGTGGGTTCTTTGGTTATTTATTTATGCCATTTATTTGGTTATGGTAATATATTAAGTTTGTGTTGGTGTTGATTTTTGCTTTGATGATTAGTTGCTTATGGTTGATTATTATTATACTTGTTTGTGATGGTTGTTTGCTTAAGCTTGATTAAGCCTTATGTGTAGCTTAATTAGTCAATAATGGGTGTGATGAATTGGAGTTGGTGTGGCCAAAATTTGGAAAAAATAATTTAGGTTTGGTATAAGCTTGGCTTGAAACAATAGAAAGGAAGAAAATAAAATGAAAATTCTAGGGTTTTACCTATGAAATGGGTGTGATGAATTGGACTTGGTGTGGCCAAAATTTGGAAAAAATAATTTAGGTTTGGTATAAGCTTGGCTTGAAACAATAGAAATGAAGAAAATAAAATGAAATTTCTAGAGTTTTACCTATGAAATATTTGGCCAAGAATGACAGAAAAAAAATGGAATTCTTTATTGTTTAGGGACCTTAAGCTAATGTTAAGAAAATGAGGTTGATTAGCCATTTTAATAAGAAATGAAAAGTCTTGTAGGACTAAGACAATTTCCTTGCAAATTTTAGGACCGTTCGGCCTAAACATGGGAAAAGGAGGACTTTGGGTTTTCTCAAGCCAATGAAATAATTTATGAACTTATTAGGCCTAAATTATGATAAAAATGAAGTTAGATTGGTAAAGTCGTGAAAAGAAATCGAACTTGACCTAAGCACTCGAATTTGCCAAAAAAGAGGAGAAACATTGTTCCTAGCGTGTTTTTAAACCAGTCGAGATGTTAAATACCACCTAAGTCGAATGTAGAATGAAATAATAGTCAAGAGTGTCCCTTTAAGCAAAATGAAGGTCTCAAATATGAATCGAGTCCACGACCCAATAAATGACACTAGTTGGCATTTAAACCTAATTAGGTGAACGTTGCGACAAGATGTTTGAAATCATGTGAACTATATGTGAACTCGACATGGGTGCATTGGTTTGAAACCTATATGGTTTGGTACTCTCACCGGGTTTAATATTGTAATTATGACATCACGTGCATTGGTGGTGATGAATTAAGAAAGAATCAAATGGTCGAAAAGTGGTGTATATGGATAGGGGTGGTAACCTAATCGAATTAAAAAGGGGTTAGTTGTCCAATTGTGTGTGTACTCTAAGTTGTGAGCCTACACCGTAGGCGATTGATTCCCATCAGCGGTGACTACAACGAAGGATAATTTCGCTGTTAGCATTCGGTGATTTAGTAATCTTCTATAAAGTAGATCGCTACTACTACCCAAGGTACCCGAATTAATATTTATGAGTATGGTGGAAAGTTAGAAAAGCATTGCATATCACGTGCATCACCCTACTTCCCGAGCTTCGGCTCACCTCGTTGTTATTTACATGTTATGATAGGTAGCGATGACTCGTAGTACCGATAAGGACGTTGTTGGATCCTCCAAAAGTGCTCATGATTAACACAAACCTTATGAGATTTTATTTTAATTGTAAATTTTAGGTTGGTGTATCGGTAGACATTTTGATATTATTATGAATAAAATAAATTATAATTTCTTCCCATGTGAATATCCTTGCCATATAAATTGTGTTATACATATTTTAATATGTAATATGTTGTTATGGTACGAGCATGTACGTAGTAGAGTTTAAGTCGGGTTGGACGTGTCGGCGTGACACGCTCCTCGCCCGGCCACTTTATTTTAGGTAGTTAGCAAGTGGACCGAGGAGGGGGCGCCACAAGGTGATATCGGAGTTATGGTTTAGTTAACCGGGTAGAACCTTAAGTGTCACTTGAGCCCGAGAACCGATGTGCTTACTCAACGAGTAATAATTTGATTCTTGATTTTTTTAAAAAAAATATGTACGATTATTATTATGTGATTTTTCATGCTTGGTATATAATTTTGTTCTATAAATTAATATTGGTAATTATTATTGCTTGTAGATGTTGTATTTATTTCGTACACCCTACGCTGCTAGGACGCACCAATAACGAGCCACCCTAGCTACCTACCGGGTCGAACTAAACGACCGACTATGACTCCGGATCGGGATATAGTAGCCCATGTCACCCGGGTGCATGACTTGATTCAGCGAATAACATTTGCTAATACTTCTTTCCAGCGAGTATCGTAATATCGATTTCCCGAGACCGACTCTACACTCGACCCTTTTACCGAGAGATCGACAATTGCTAGATGAGGTTTGGGAAGGGTTGATAGGTCGATTTTATTATCGAGACTTGGTTCGAGCCTTCCTTCCGAGTATAGGTTAGGTGGATCGTACCCGGTTGATGTATAGTTGGGGTCCGTCGTTATCCCTCGCTCGCGAGATAGTACGCATTGCATCGGATGATGTTATTGACTAGTGAAGGGTCAAGCACTCTTTCCTACGACACATCCGATATATTGGTTGGACATAATAGATTGTAACTCGATCACGTGATGCGAGTACTTGTTGTGTATTTCTCGATGTAAATAAGTACACTTTTGATTATAAATAAAGCATAAAAACTTTTAGAAGGTAGAAGTGCTTGTAAATACCTATTGTGAACGAAATGCTTCATATATAAATATTTATAATTTTACGCGTAAGTGGATGATTTACATTATACATTGTTTTAATACCAAAACTAACATGGGCATAACATGGC